GTCTTTTAGCAAAACTACACCGGTTTTTAAACGCGCATTGGCTTTAGGTACTAAATTTACAATATTTTCGATTACTTTATGTATAAAATGAAGATGTGATAGTTTGGGTTTGTCTAAATGGAAAAAAAAGGAAATATAAAGGTCGTATGAAAACCAAAAGTTTAAAAATAGTTATTTTTTCTTAACATTAATTTAAGCCTTATATAGTGGCAACTGAAATTAATAAACAATAACGTAAACATTAAAAAAATATTTATTGTCAGTCCTAAGCCTGTAAAAGTGTAAAGGTTTTATTTTAAATATACGCAAACAGGGATGTCCACGTAATGTATCGTAAAAAAAGATAGCAGGTAAAAATATCCGAGTGACCGCAAGTGCCACCAAAAAGATCATGACCGCAAATGTGCCGACCGCATCTGTGCCGACACCGGGCAATCGACCCCATTGCCTTCTATAAAGACACCCTGGGAGAGGAGGATAGGTTCAAAATGTTTCAAATATACATACTGGAGACTCGTCTTTTTTTTAATTTAAAATTACTGCTTTTAACTAGAATATTATATTATTATTAATACAATAGTGAATAATCGATATTTACTGCTAAACTCTGACTACTTTTAAAAATATTTCGGAATAGGAGGAAGGTCGGGACTCCTGGACCCCCCTTAGTTACAAAATTGATTATAACACTATTATAGAATATATTCGATGTATTTTTGTTTCAACTTTTAAATCCACATTCGGTAAAAAAACGAATTGTAATGATTTCATAATTATATCGATTTACTGTTTTTTTTTTTTTGGAGGGGGATTAATGAATTTGACTTGTATATAACCTCAAGTTAGATTCATTAATCCGAACCGAAAATGGGTTGATAAATTCCACCCTTTTCTACTTAAGGTAGGTCCCTGGTTTCACTGGTTTATTAGAGAGATAATAATAACTGACAACAAATGTCTGCATTTAGCCGAAGATTTCGAAGTTTTGAAATTAATTTTTTTTTTACCAGCTCGGAAAATCATTTGGATTCACCATCATTTGCTAATAGAACATTATTTTCGATGCCCCTCCTCTCTCCTTTCATGCGAATGGAAATTCTAAATCACACAATAAAACCGATATGGCCAGCATGCGACTTGACTGCACTGCCGGCACCAGTAGTGAAATATTTACGTGTTAAATTATTATTGTTTGTTAATGTCGGATCGAAATGACCTACTTTTCCCCAATTGTTGCGTGTAAATACACGCCGAGCTGCAAAGTTTTCAAATTCGTCGAAACGTTTTGTCCTCATTTCTGGTCGTATACTACATAGGTATTATATTAAGTTCGTCCGCCATGAAAAAATAACACTATTAGGTACCAAACGAAATGTTAAATAATCCTTAAAACAAACAAAAACCAAAATTTTAACGGTATTTTTTTAGATTATTTGAACAGAGCAAGGAATGCATATTGCAGGTTTCTGAGCTTTCACAATACATACGTGCATAGACGGTATTATGGAGGGGAGAGAGTAGAGTATGCAGTTGCTTTCCTGTAAATTGTTGTTTTCCCGATAAATGTATATACTTCTAAACTCCTTAATTCGTATGGGTAATCCTAAGCGTGTACACTGTATAATACAGAAACATGGTCTAAAATTTCGAAAATACAGTCATGACTTTTTTTCTTTTATAAACGTTTGAAGATCAATTTTTCAAATACAATATATCTTATATTTATTTTGTAATTCAATTTTTTCAAATCATTCAGCCACGTTATTACAGTTTTTAAGTATATAAAATTTGATATACTTCATAATCAGATTTTTTTTTTGAAGATGTTTAGTTAAACCAAAATTTGATGTCCTTTAACCGGTTCATGATTTAGAAAAGGTCAAATAGAACTTTTTTGAGGGGTTGACGAGGCGATTGTAATTTTTTTGGAGCGTAGCGAGGGATCCATTAGTTTTACCATGATGAGTGTTTTTTTTCTGCCTGTAAAAACTTTACGAGAAGAAATCTTGAAATCATGCTCCAATGTATAGAGTACTAGCTGTCCCGCGCTCGGCGATTCCCGTGCCAATTTGTATTATTATTATTTTACCCATATTAATTTTTAGTTTTGGTAGTGTCAGAATTTAATGAAAACAAATAGATGGAAAGTGAGTAGTCCACCTTCGGCGGACTAAATGTGTTCTATTGTGAAATTCTAATAGTGCAAATGATAGTAATGATAGTAATAATCATTTTAATAGTTTTTTTTTTTCGTAACACCAAAATAACCCTTGAATAAACAAAAATAAATAAGCAATTAGATATGCGTACCAAATATATCTAAAACCCCCTATTTTACCACCTTAGGGGTTGAACTTTCAAAAATCCTTTTTTATTGCACGGTGAAAGTATTAGAGCAACCATTATTCCAAATTTCAAGTGCATACGTTGAGTAGCTTTTGAGATATAGCGATCAGTGAGTCAGTGGTATTTGGATTTTATATATAGAGTATATATACCTTTATAGAGTATAGTACCTTTTTTGAAAGATAATTTTCTCTAGATAGTATATTGAGGAAATTACTTTTTGATTTTCTAATAGGTTTGCGAAATAATTGGGAAAAACCCGAAAAAAAATTATATAGGTAAAACGGTAAATATTTATGACATGCCGCATTTCATACCGATGCATACCGATTTCAATGTTTAACCTTTAAACATATAGCCACTTACAGAGAAAGTTATTTTTTGATATCTACATTATTTTTTATAATAACTGAGAAAAAACAAAAATGATTAAAATTACGATTTTTTATTTATCAAATTTTGGCACATTGAGTTTAATTATTTTAAATTTTTACGGTTTATGTTTTCTACAAAAATTATTACTCCAATATAAAAACAATAAGAGACAATTTTTGTTATATTTTTAATCTAGTTGATGAGTAAGAGAACCGTTTTTTGATTGTCTTGAGTTTTTTTTAATAATTTAGCAAAATTGAAAAATACGTAAAAGTACGGGAAAACTTATGAAATAATAATAATAATTTATATTTTGTTTTTTTAATATAATTCAGATAAAAATATTCGTGAAGATTTAAAACTTTAGCAAAAAAATTATATTTGCTCTTTCTAGAAATTGTACAATTTTCGAAACGTTCAAGTCATTTTTGGGCTATTTATAGTCGTTTTAATTTTGTGATTTTTATTTGGTACCTACACTGTGGATACAATTGTTAGGCTAAAAAGAAATGATTGAACATTTAACAGGTGGTTCATAATAAGTCATACTTAATGGTAAAAAAAAAAAAAACAAATTGAGTGTAAAATAGTTTTTTATATAAGAGTATTAAAATTAAATTTTTATGAAAATCGTAAATATTACGGCCTTCAAAACACGTAAAACCGAACTTCGTTCTGAATCGTTTTTCGTTAGCAATGGTTTATTGTTAGTTTATTAGTGGCTGCAATGTTACATCCATCTCCAGTATCAGTTTTTTTTTTTATGCTACTAATGTGTATAATATTTCTAGCAGACAAATGATTGTATTGAAGTATTGAAGTCGATACTCAAATCGACTAGATAACTTGAAAAACGGTGGAATTTACACGTCTCCACATTTTTACAGAATATTATTTTATATGGCATTTTTTAGACGTGACAGGTGCACCCCTAGACCTTCGGTCTAATGAAAATACGGACATACTTCTAACGATCGGTGGACAACTGCTATAGATGAGAAGTTGGGAAGGTAGGATAATGAATGAAGTTAAATCTATTTTTTCACATTGAATAAATAATAATTAAAATAATGATAGTATTAAAAACAAAAATAATAATAATAATAATTAATAAAAGTTAGATGATTAAGTTTAAAATACTTTTATTTTAAGCAGCGTTTTGCAAGCGGTTTGATCAACAATAATGTCTATATTAATGTTTTCATTTCGATAAATATTTAAAAATGATAAGCCAGTTCTCTCAGACTTTGCTCATTTTTTTTACCACACAGTACGGCTTTTAATAAATCTCATGTTAACTTCTCGAGCATTTCTGTTTGGTCTAACAAATGTATCCACAGAGTACCTATCGAATAAAAATTTCGTACAAAACTCGCAAAATTAAAATATCTATAAATTGCCCAACAATTTCACCACGTCAAGAAAAGGCAAATGTAAGTTTTCTGTTCAAATTTCTAGTTTCTATAAAAATGCTTAACTGAATTACAGCAAAAAACAAAATTGAAAATAATAAAAGCATTATTTTCGTGAATTTTCCCGTTTTTCTTACGTTTTATCCTGGGTTTTCCCGATATTATGAAAATCGACTATATACTATATATTACTATACTATTACTAATACTATGTACTACTATAATGTATGGACAGCTGGTGTTTACAAACTGTTTTATTGTTACTTTAGAATAACCACACCGAGAGGTACGAAAATTTGTTGGTTCGTTGCCCTGAAAATTATTGTGCCATAAATCAAATGGAACAAAAACCAGACTAAGACCATATTTTCGGGGTGGTAATGGTGGTGTTTAATGAAACACCAACAACATTAAATGGTTAAAACGATTAAAAATTACGTAAAAATTCGCAAAATTAAAATGTCTATAAATAAGTCTAAAATTGCTCAAATGTTTTGAAAGTTTTACCACGTTTAAAAAATGTAAATATAAATTTTCTGTCATTATTTTAAGTCTCTATGAATATTTTAAACTAAATTTCATTGAAAAATAAAAAAATAAAAAAATAAAAAAATAATAAAGAGCTGATACTGATATAGGTGAGAAGTTGGGAAGGTAGAATACATAAGGTTATTTCATTCATATCTGTAAGCAACGATAAACAATTGCTTGACGAAAGATAATTCCGAGTGCAGTTCGAAAATACATTATTTGAAGTGTCGTATTTTTTTTTTTGTGATTTTCGTTTAAATTTGATTTCAAAACGCTTATTGAAAAAAAATTCATCTTATCATTTTGGAAATTAAACTAGGTCTAGGTAAGTCTAATATAAGTAGTAATACCAAGTTTCAAGTTTCTACGTGTATTTACAACCGAATTACAGTAAAAAACTCTCAAAAATTAAAATTCCTTAAAAGCTTTAAAGTGGTTTAAAAGTTTAAAAAATGGCCTCGAAAATCAAAATTACCTCTTTAAAGTACAATTTAGACAATTTGAGCTTTCAGAAAAGTTACTACATGTAAAAATTAGAGAAAACTAGAACAAAGAACAAAAAAAAAAGAACAGCATTGTAAAACCAATAGCTCCCTCGCTATGCTCGAAATCTAAAATGAATTATTTTCGTAAATTTGTCTGTTCTTTCTAAGGTTTTTCAGTTTAGTTCAATTATTAAAAATTATAAATAAATTTAAAAAACAACTTTCTTCAAAATCTCTTGTCCTTTTTTTATTGGAATAATATTTTTGGTAGAAAACATCGTGTAAACTGAATTTGTACATCGAGAAGGTCATTTTTTGATTAGAGTTTTCAGAATAAATGGGAAAAACTGGGTAAAATATGGGAAAACTGGAATAACGGGAAAATTAGTACATTTTTAAACAAATATTATTAAAGAAAATGCAAATATAATTATTTTACCATAATATATATTGTTTACAAAACAAAATTATCAACCGAATCCCGCTCAGAATCGTTTTTCGTTAGCAATGGTTAATTGTTGCTGAGTATTTGCTTACAAATATATATTAAATTTCACCTCTACTACCTTCCCAACTTCTCACCTATAACAGTGGCTGCACCCGTCCTCATTATCTTAAGACAGCTTTTTTTATTTGTAAGGAAAATGAACAATGGAAGAAAACGATATTTTTTTTTTGGAAGCAAACGGTTTCGGCCATAAATTTAGTACACATTATACAATAAACAAAATTAATTATTATATTATTGATACTTATATGTACATTAAAAAAATATATGCTATTATGATTCCTAAATGATTTTTTTTTCAATAAAACCTTTCAAACTATAACATCTTACAAACATATTATTATTGTTTTGTCGTTGATAAATTATCCTACGATGACTGGTCGCTAAACAACCATACGTAAGCCGTAATATTTTATGGTGAATAAAGGATCTAAAAATCGTCATCATATACTAATTTTAAATAATTATGATTTTTATTAATCTCAAAAAAAAAAAACAATTATTTATAAAAAAAAAAATTACATCATCAGTTCTGTATACAATATAATATATTACAATATAGTATATTATAGTTACTCGTATATGTATTATAGTTGTTTGTTCGATAAAACATTCAGAGTGGTGCTACAACGCTAAGGCATTTTTCCGACTCCGATGTGCTATAAATTATAAAATATTACATACAGGTAAACTTTTGGTGTGTAATTTGCACATTATAATTTATGATATTTTATAATTGCTGTACGCGTGCGGTAGATCTGCAAATAATAGTACACTTTATACGGTGTATTATTTAATATAATATTTCAGTTCCTAATAATTTTAAAAAACCATTATTTTTAAATGTTTAAATGTGTGTGCAAATAATAACTTATACAATTTGAAATAAGCTTTCTTCAAATAACAAAAAAAGAATACAAATCAGTAAAAAATAAAAAATGTTTTTACAATATTGAGCGCCGTGTTTGGCTTCGTATAGATAGACTATTATACATTGGTGGTAGCTATTACAAATAGTGAGGAAAAATAAGGAGCGTTACAAAATCGTTAATAATCGAGGATTTAAAAAAAAAGAAAAGAAAAGAAAAGATCATTGTTTGATTAACACAATACTATACAGGTGCACGTAAGATTTATTTAATTTCTTAAAAATAACAATAAATGTGCTATTCAAGTAGATGATTTGGTTTTTCCTGAGGGGCCAGTCTTCAGTCCGAATCTGACTGTTCTTCGTCAACGAAATCCATAGATTTTGAACTGGGACTAATTTGTAAAAGGAAATAATTATTGATAGATTATTTTGCAATATAATATTATTTAATGATTAAAAAGCACAAGTATTTAATGAATATATGTGAGTACGATTGGAGGATAGTTGAATTTTATAATATTTATATGACAGTATACTCGGATTATCAGCGTGACCTAATAGTTGCCGATGCATAGTCTGTGAAAATATATTTATTTTTTTGGCACACTGGCATTAAAAGACAATTTATACTAAGAGAAAAAGTGTCCGATAGTTATAAGTGATAACTTATAATGCACTTATTATTTCTGTGACCCTCGTCGTTTTTACAATATTATGCACATGTAGAAAATATCTAAAAAAAAGTCGAACCATACTGATTCGCATAATTTGTGTATGATTAAAACATAATGAAATGAATCCTTGATGTTTGCTTTTAGGTACTTTTTTACTACGTGACAAACTGAATAATTTTTACTGTTTATATCATTCGTTTCACCTATCATAAATAAACAAAAAGAAAAATACACAATTTTTCGATTTATAAAACCAAACTCAAGTGTCATCCATACTTTAGAAGAAATTTAGTTTAGGGGCATAGATTAGCCTAAACTATGTCTGAGAAAATTTTGTACCTTGCAATGAAAGTCCCATTTAAATTGGATCAGCCGTTTCCGAGAATAGTCGGAAAAAACAGACATACAAACACTTTATTATTATTTATATTGATTTATGCGGTACTACCTCGTCGTTATGGTAGACAATCGATTAAATGCAGGTAAGTTCGCTCTCTTTTTCGTTTCTTCTTCCAACGAAGAGAGAGACATGCAGAAAGTCGATCCGATTTCTTTGAGTTGTCTGATGCCCAAATGGAATCCCTATATATGTATATATGTATGTATATAAAAAAAGAAATGAAATAAAAAATGTACCCGTATGATAATATGATAAATTAAAAATTAAAATAATATTCACTTTGTAAAGCCCTTCGTCGCAACCGCAATAACTCGTCTCCAAAGTATAACTTCTTTTTACACCGTAACACCTCCACACTGTTATTCTGGCAGTGGTTTCGCGATTTCTTTCTATTTTGTATTTACACTGTGACAACGAAAACGTCGGACAACAGTTTTGCATCAAAATCGGTAGAACCTATAAAAAAAACACAAAAAAAAAAAAAAAATACTTGAATAAGTTTATTCGATGTTAAATAATTAGTCTAATTAACAAAATGATTTAAATTATAAATCAGAAAAAAACGATTCATTCGAAATAGTTTCTCATTTGAAACTTATCATTATAATCGATATTTTATCATTTAACATTTATTTAGACCTCTCCCGAAACAAAAAAAATGAACACAATGGAGATTTGATAATGATAATATATATATATATAAAAAAAAAACAAATAAATTAAAATAGAAAGACCTGTTGTAGCTGTTTTATAAAGAATATACTTATATTTTACGTATGCAGAATACGTATCCTAAATTCCAAATAAATGAGTGAAATACTGAAAATATATTCACAACACATATTCGAATACCTACTTGAAAAAGTATTAAATAATTTATTTTTCACCTGTTAAATAGGCGAAAACTATAAAAATATCAACGGTATATTTCGATTGAAGATAAATAGTTACTAAATACCTAGATGTTCATAATTTATTGTACAACAGTCGTATAAAATCTACAATTTGAATTTCAAAATGTCATCGTTTTCATGGTTATTTTTTAAACCTAAATAAAATATATGATATGTACATTGTATATCAGCGGTTCTCAACGTTTGTGCGTTGAAGATATTATTTACCCAATTTTTTATGCGACCTTTTTGAAAATAATTTCAAACGGCAGCTACTCAGTACTAATCTTACCCAGCTCACTTAATTTTCAATTACAACAGCTAAAAGAAATTATCTATTATTTTTCATTTATTTTTAAAGTAATATGTAATATACACGACTAAACGTGTAATATATACCTTGTGATGTTCACAATATTTATAATAATTTATAGCAAAACAAATATACGGGTCAACTAATTATCAAATTTATTCGTTTCCGTGAATACCAACCGAAAAAGTATATTTATAGCATCGAAAGACCAAAGTCCAAATTTATGAATTTTTACTCGTTTTTCAAGAAAAGTAATTTACGAAAAATGTTTCATTAATTGTATTACTTTTAAAACTATTTTATACAGGCAATCTAAAATTAAAATATAATACGATTAACGTTTTAATTTTTTGATGATCTATTGAAAATTATTCGTAACGCTATGGTCGAGAAACGCCGTTGTACAGAATAACACATACAGTATTATTAATTTTCCAATAGGTCATCATATTTTTTTAAATAATTCTAGTTTAGTTATCAATTTATCATTGAACAATGAATGTGTTCTCAATTATTTTATAATTAATACATTTGTTAATATTTTGAGTAATTCTTTTCTTAAATTCATAATTTGATTTTAATTTTTGATCATTTTTGGGTACTGTCATCAATCTTCTGTCTCTAATTATAGTGTTTAAATAATTTGATATAATGTAGACATTTCGAAATCTAAATCCTCATAAGGCACTTTATTTCTTGACTTCGGTTTTTTTCTTCAAAAGTATAATAAAATAGTATATATTGGTACAACGATACTAACCATGAAATCCGTTTCGTTTTCATATTTGTACAAGTCCATTCTCGACCAACTTTTCTTTGTCGAACATCCGTAAAAAAAACAATTTTTCCGATTTGAATGACCGTGAAAATCACAATACGCATATGGAACCGTTTTCATTACCTTTGCAACGTATTCTAAAATGCCCTGAAATACATTAACCTTGTTATTAGGTAGGTAAATAGTTAAAATCTATGTATTTATGATACAATGATTCGACCTTGAAAATGTGTTTTTTTCTGTGTATTTTTTTAACTGTTATGTATACCTACGTTATTATATTGCATACGTACAAAAAAAGGCGACTACCTAGATAATATATTACAAGACTTCGCATTACATATAAATTGTAATAGGGTTGAATAAAATTATTAATGATGGTTAAAAATACCGGCGTATAAACGCTGGTTTGATAAGATTTTTAGAAAAACATTAATTATTAATATACTCATGTCCTAGAATTGTTCGAAATAGTTAAACCGTAAAATTACTTTCCGTAACACTGAACGTAAAAATACGTTATAATATCCAATATTATGTTTTATTAAAATATATTTTGAGAAAATTACTAATTATAATGTGATATTATACATTTTTGTTGTAACTATGTATGATATTATTTTATATTTTAAAACGGATACGATATTGAGGTTTTAGACATAAACAGTTCGATTTTGGGACAATACTCTCACGAAGACAAACGCGACGATATTAAATCAGAAAATGCAATACTATAATATTATCATATACCTCATGTTT